ATGAAAGTAGAAACACACTCCAGTTGAGGTCTAGGTTCCCACCCAACTTTCCTTCTTCCTGCACCAGAAAGGTGGCCCTCCACTTGGGTGCCCATTCCTTTAGTTTTGCATGCATATACGCATATCCATTGATGTGATACTTATTTTTAATAATGAATAATGATTTTTTTTTAAAAATTTGATTTTGAGAGAGAAACATAGATTTGTTGTTCCACTTATTGATGCCTTCATTGGTTGTTTCTTGCATGTACCCCGACAGGGGATTGAACCTGCAACCTTGATATATGGGGACGATGCTCTAACCAACTGAGCTACCTGGCCAGGGCTGATAAGTGTGATATTTAGTGTTCTTCAGTCTGGTTTGGCTTTATAATTCATATCTTCCAGAAGCCAGCAAACTTTGTTTCCGTAAAGGATCAGATAGTGATTATTGTCAGCATTACTGACCAGACCATCTATGTTATAACTATCTGACACTGCCCTTGTAGCAGTCACAGATGTATCAGTAAATGAGGGTGGCTGTGTGCCAATAAAACTTTATTTAGGAAATCAGGCAGCAGGCTGGATAGTGGCTGTAGTTCACTGACTCTGGACATAGATGGCATCAATATTTACCTTTATTCCATTGACATCTCTAACATTTTTCTAATCCACCATATGTAGCCCAATCTTGTTCATTTGAAGTGTTATGTTCTCACTAAGCATGGCTGTATCACAATTTACTGAGTCCCCTGTCATTGGACATGCTGGTTGCTTTCACTGTTCCCCAATAACAGGCATTGCTACCTTTCGAGGTGGTGGGTCAGGGTGGGGGGATCTGAGTGCTGAGTTCAAATCCTCACTCTGACACTGACTAGCTGTGAGATGGGCCAAGGGCCAGCCCCTGAGCTATGCCTGTCTCCCTCCCTGTAACATGGAGGTGGTAACTGCACCTTTCAACAGGGTTTCCGCAGGGCAGCTGCCGAGAAGGGGAACTTCTGGGACTCCTCCTCCTCCGTGGAAAAGATACATTCTCACTCTTACTAAATACTACTGATTGTTCTCCAAATCGGTCCTCCCTGTTAGCACTCCCACTGGAAGTGAACAAAGGGCTCATTTCCTCCATCCACACTGCATGTTACTTTCACTTTTTTAATTGGTGTTGAATTCATAGGTCCTATAGTATATAAATCTTAAATGAACAGCTCAGTGGATTTTTGCATATGTACACACTCCCTGTAGCCAACACCCAGATCGTGATGTAGGGGTCATTTCAGCCTCAAGAAGTCCCCAACGTCCAGCTGGTGTGGCTTAGCGGTTGAGCGTTGACCCAGGAACCAAGAGGCCACCAGTTCAATTCCCGGTCAGGGCACATGCCTGGGTTGTGGGCTCGATCCCTAGTGTGGGGCAGGCAGGAGGCAGCCAGTCAATGATTCTCTCCCATCATCATGTTTCTATTTCTCTCTCCCTCTCCCTTCCTCTCTGAAATCAATAAAAATGTATTAAAATAAAAAAGAAGAAGTCCCTATCCACCCCTTCCTCATCATTACCCATGGGGCAACCACTGTTCGGGTTTCTCTCATCATAGTTTAGTTTCACCTTGTCTTGAACCTTCATTGCAATGGGACCAGAGTATGGATTCTTGTGTCTGGCTTCTTTCACTCAATATCATGCTTGTGAGTTTCATTCATATGGTTATAAATATCGAAAATTTATCCTTGTTCCTTGCTGCATGGTATTCCACAGAATGAATCCACCCTGTTTTGCTTATCTATTCTCTTCTGGGTGCACACCTGGGTTGTGCTCCAGTTGGGAGCTGTTATGAATAAAGTGGCTGAGAACATTTGGGGGCAAGTATTTTGTGTGGACATTTGCATAGAACTTGGCTACAAATACAGGAATGGGGCTGCTAAAACATAGGGGAGGTGTTCCAGTTGCTTTTTATTTTTTAAAAAAAAATAGATATCTTTATTGATTTCAGAGAGGAATGGAAGAGAAAGAGAGATAGAAACATCCATGATGAGAGAGAATCATGGGTCAGCTGCCTCCTGCAC